GAGGAAACATTTTTAGCACTGAGATTGGAATGGAGGCTGAGAGGGATCTCTACAAACAGACCTTGTTAAAGTAATAGCCATCTTTTCTGGGGCCCTACTCTTTTTCACAACTGACTCCCTTTGCTCAATCTAGTACAGAAGCACTGAGGCTTGCTCTTCTCCAGGTCATCACTTTGCTGTTGAGACTCTCATGTGTGTGTAACAATATGAATGTTTTTCTCTTGTAATCAGGTAGAAACCCTTACAAGACACGCAAAAAGTTTTGACTCCCTTATACTCAAAGTGTAGATCCTTCAATGATCCTACCCATGACATTTCAATAAATGGCAAATTAAAGAATTATTAGCTGTGAGTTTGGTAAAATATCTAAACATCAATATAGCCCAGTGCAAGTAAGCTCATATAATTAGCTACCACATTAGAACCAGTAAATTTAAAATATAAGGGAAAACTTAGTCCTTGAATATAAACCAGCAAAAGTTGTTCTCCTGAGTGACTCTACAAAAATATTAATTAAAAATAATTATCTATTGCAAACAGCAATGACTTTTATTAAGACTACTTGGTTCACCTAAATAGAGATGTAGTTGGGCCTATGTGAAGAACTGTCTACTAATAAAAAAGAAAGATGTAAATAACACAGGGTAGTTGTTGGTGGCATAGAATCAGGAAAGAAACTATTAAAACCACCAAAAATTACTGAAACTTTCCTCTCTAAATTCTGGACATGAAGTTGAAAAGTTCCAGTGCCAATAAAGATAAAAATAAGCAGTAGGAGAGCCAAGAACAGTGTTTTCAGAGGGAGACCCAAGAACAGTGTTTTTGGTGGGAGACCCAAGAGCAATCTTTTCAATTATAGACCCAAGAACAGTATGTTCCCTCTGCAACTGCCGACCTGTGTGTGTCACTTCCCGGACTCAGAATGCTGGTGCAAATACCAATTTACATGTTCTTTGAAATTGATCATTTATTTAAGGTGGATATTTATATTTAGATGAAAATTTAAGGTACACTGCACTTTAAAGAGAACTGTTTTACTGTACATAAAATTATCTGTTTTACTATATATAATATTTCTTCCTAAAATACTGGTATCAGAATTTGTCTTAATATTAGAACCTATTCCTTAAGACTTAGTTAAAATATAAAAATAAATTATTTTTGTTACTTCTCAAATATGGTTCCAGTGAAATATGCACAAGACATTTATTATCATAAATTTCTTACACATACACAAATAAAATTGGAAATTGAATATATGGCATCTCAAAACAGCATTAAAAGTGTAAATTACTGGGTGAATGTGGACAGTCATGGATGCTCTAGGTGCTGAGAACAAGTGAAAGTACTCAGTCTAAACAGGACATTTATACTACCCAACCTGAGACTTGCAGGGAGATATGAATGTATGAAAAGGAGTTGTAGAGAAAAGGGAGTGCTAATGGTAGTAGAAGCTGAAGTGTGCAATAAATAAATAAATATGTGTAATATATACTGTATTAAATTCTATATCCACTATATGTATTCAATTGTCAAAGAGGCACTGGTAAGATTCTAAGTTAAGAGCGCCTTTTGGTCTTACAGAGGATCCAGGTTCAATATCCAGAACTCACATGATGGCTCACAACCATCTCTACCTCCAGTTCTAAGGGACCCAAAGCCCTCTACTGACCTCCTTAAGCAACAGGCATGCACCAGAAATGCACTTGGTACACATACATACATGTAACAAAAAAACTCATACACATAAAATGAAATTGTCTGTTTTTAAAAAGCATGTATGTCCTCAAAGAATAAGCTTACTAAAACTATAACTTAAAAATGTACATTAGTGATTTCTTGATTGTAAATATGACTTTCCTAAATATATATTATAGCTTTAATTCCTGGCATTAATGTATATGTCTATAAGTGTGTGGGAGTGCTTATTATTACTTTTAAAACAAATTTGAGTTAATAGATGTCACAAGTACTGCACAGTAAGATATTTAAGTAGGATTAGTTTGAAGCCTACTCTGTTTTCTTAAGGGCAACATAATGGCAGTCCAGCATCACTGACCTCACAGACCAAGCCTCTTAGTCACACCTGCTCAGCCTTAAAGCAACAGAGAGCAAAATAGCACTTTTAAAATGTGAAATGTGCTAACCTTCCATCATAAACCAGGTCATTTGAGTTGGCCAGTCTGGACTGCTAAGATAAATATTATGTTTTGCTTTTTCCAAAGAGTAACATATGAAAGAAATTGGATACACTCACATATGATCCATTTATATCAAATATATAAACAGGTAAGACTGAGTCAGGGTCAGAAGCCAGGACAGAGATCGTCATCCTTAAAGAGGGGGCAGAGAAAGGGTTGCTGTGTGCTGATAACAATATATTTCTCAATATGGGCAGTAGTTACATGGATGTGTGTATCTGGTAGGTACCCACCAGGATGCATATGCCTGTCTATGCCTGTCCTGTATTTTTGTTATGCATCTATAAAAAAAAAGTGTCAAAAGATTATGTAAGGAGACGTTTAGATGCCATGTTCTCTGCCAGAGAGTTTATGCCCAAAGAAAACTAAACCAGAGAATTACTGGTCCACAGATACAGGCACAGCAAAACATGTTGTCTTGCAAACATGAGGACTAGAAAAAAATCCACATGTTTAACTTTGAGATTCTGGTTCTCTTCCCCACTCAGCTCTCTCAATCTTGGTATGCATCACTCGGACAGAAGCCAAAGGATCCTCTCAAGTAATACTGACACACCCTGGGAAAAAGATGTACTCACTGTCTTTGCTAAGTAACAGGCAAAAAGAGCAAATACCTACACTGGCCACAGAAAGGGAGCAGTCTCCAAGTAATAGGTGTTAGGAAGAATGCTATGTTCTGTCAAGAAGCCTACATGAGCAAGGAAGAAGGAAAGAATATAAATGAAAAGGAGAGGCAGCTAATAAGCCAGCACCAGAAATGTACTCCCAGAACTTAAGTTCCTGAGGTGGGAACAACAGTTCCACGCTAACAGGGTAACAGTGAATGCCAAGTGGATCAAAACTTGAGACTAGTATATCAAGAGGATGGGGAAAGAGCTGTGCAGGAAGTATGAGGCAGGAAGGGTGTGCTACAACAGAAGAACGAAAGCCTTACCTTCTTATGGCAGAAACCCAGCACAGAATGTCCACCATGGCAGTGTGTGTATAGTATTTGGGGAGATTAGAGAAAACAATAGATCCAAATGGCACAAAAGTGGCTCGCTCAAAAGTAGGTCTTAGGTGCAACAGTGTACTGGAAATCCAGGGAACTATCTGTTACAAACCTTGTTTAGTAGAATTTTTAAAATCCTACATACAGCATTATTTTAATGAGAAATGAGTATACACTTTTTAAAGCACAAAAATGTTTTTATACATTTCATTTTGTTTTATACAGGAAATCGGCTAACCACAGTGGAAAACAACAGCAACATTCTGCACACAATTCCAGCCCCAGGTGCAGCTGACAGGGCAGGTAGAAGGCAGTGAGGGAAGTGTGTGTTCAGGGAAGCTGGACAGGTGAAGTGAATATGGAGAGTTCAAAAATTACAGCTCAGGAGGGATGGCAACCAGGTGTCTCTGAAAGAAACAAGGCAAGGTGGGGCCTGGATTTCACTGAACTGGGGGCCATCTGGATAGTCACTCATTTCACAGATGTCTCTTTTGTGAATATTCTTGTGACAAAAAACTCATCTTATATGGGCTTTAATTTTGGACTACTATGGAACACTTAAGTAGAACAGAGAAAATAATGTCATCCAGGTACTTATTCCATTTGTCAAATGCTAACATTTTTGGCCATATCTACCTCTATATTGTTTTTTTCTTAAAGTAAATATTGCATATATAACTGAAAATCCTTCAAGTCATTCTCTAATGCCAGCACCTAATTTCCTTCTCAGATTGTTACTAACCGGAATTTGCCCTGATATCCATAGGCCTCATCCCTCAAATGGGCTTAGTTAAGATGAATCCTAATGCCCCTTTCTATACTAAGATACAACTTGTCAAATTTAGGAATGGTATCAAAGAATATTCACAATTTTTTGAAAGAACAATTAAAATACTCTCCTAGGGATTAGGGGGTATGATGAGATGCAGAGGAGGGAAAATTAGAACAAATTACAGTGATACAAATGCATGGAAATGGCATAATGAAGTCTATTAATCTGTGTGCTAGCTTTAAAATGTTAATTTTTAAAAAATGCTCTCTTAGTTTGCAACTACATGTACAAAGTTTACAATAAATTTGTTTGGATTTTCCTTTCTGGGTGTTAAAAACATAAATATATAATCACAGTGACTGATTAGCATAGCTTTCTCTCTAACCATATCAGCCACTTAAGAAGATATAAACCCGACTGCTCCTTGAACACAGATATATCCCCTTGGTCATTACTCCAGACAGGATAGAAAGGAATATGGCAAATTCTCAGCTCTCTTTTAGAGATACTTCTGGTCATAATGGGACAGTTTCTCCTGCTGACACACATGACTCAAATCCAATACACTGATACCCAGATGTTATAGTGTTTTGGATTTAAACCTTGGTTCTTATATTTCTAAGATAAGTCCTTTTATGGGGTAAAAAAAGAAAACTGACACATGAATTTCAAAACAGAAAAAGTATCCTTTACAGACACTGGAAGTTAGAAGAAACACACTAAATACCATTACCTTTCCACAGTCTACTTGCAGATATTCCAGGGAGTGAAGTTTGTTTAAAAAGAACAGCTCTTGTGTAAATCTACCCAATGAATAACTACAATTCATAATTTTAAAGGCAGGATGCCTTAGGGAAAATTTCAGAGTGATAACTGATATTGCCACACTATAAAATAAAGTCATGTTATCTTGCCTATTAGAGGGGGAAAATATACCTGTCAGAATAGTCAAGAGATAAATCCTTGACTAGGTTGGTCTTTTACTGGCCTGGGTTTCCCAGCCCTTCCCAGGATTCTAGCACTTCTGCAAGCTCACCTTTGCAGTTCACCAAGTCCTCTGGCAGCTGGAAGGGTGGGGTTTTGCCTTAGGAAGTTTTGTTTTAAATTGAGATGAGTAAGATCTTGGCTGTAGAAGAGGTTGGCAGGCAGATGTTCAAGGCTACAACAGGAGAGGTCTACTGAGCTTATGCGTTGGGATGCAACCTAGAGAGAAAAATAATAAATTTAATTCATTTTTCCTGTGACTACTGTCTATCAATAGAATAAAGATGTTCCCTTTTGGGAACCTAAGATCACCATGAAAGTAGCACTTCTTGTCCAAATACAAACAGATGAAGTAAATACACTTAGCACAAAATACAGCCTGATCCTGTTAAAAACAACAACAACAACAACACACACACACACACACACACACACACACACACACACACACTGGAGCATGCTTACAGTAACCAGCACAGGGGTGGCTCCAAGGATCATGTTATCTCAGTACGTTTAGAAATGTCACTAGTCACTGGTACAAGTGGTTTCATTCCTGAAAATACCAAGTAATAGGATTCTAAACAAACTAACAGACAAATTTGGAGGAAATGCACAATCGGGGCTAGACAGGAAGAAAGGTAACTGTGTGCAATGTTTTAAAAGAGGGCAGATCAAGGAGAGCAATGGCTTTGTTCTCGTTGCAATACCCTTTTGTATCAGATTCCATCACCACAAAGTCCAGTAAGATAATTATAAATTCTGTGTGCCTTGCCTCATGTATATGCTTTTCACAAAACAAGAATTATATCTAAACTATTACCTAGATATTCAGTGTCTTCCTACCAAGGCCAGAATCCCAGGACTACAAACCAACATGCATGACAGAGATAGAACATATACTGGGTAGCTGGACTTCTCAAGTGTTCTTCCCAGTACTTCAGGAAGCACAACATCAATTTATAATAAAAGCATTCAGATTCAGCCCACTTCAGCTCTATCTGGTGGCAGATGCTGTAACAACATAGTTCTAAGTCATTGCCTAACTCAACCTCTGTCATCATCATAGCTTTTCAGAAATACTTTATCTGTGATCAACTTGATGTACTTTCTATTACCAAATTCTAGGTTTCTTTTTGCTAACCCGGAAGGAAAACAGAACGTAGTCCTGGGAATGTGGCTCTGGGCCCAAAGTGTACAGATTCCTCTCCAAGCAGCACCACCTAATTGCTGAGCTAAGATGAACTGACAGATCACTGATACCTGAGCCTCAGTTTTCATGTCTGTGTAGAGGTATAATGTGGTAACCTCAGTTTTCATGTCTGTGCAGCAGGTAAAAACAAGGCATCTAGTTCTATCTTTATAGCCCACAAAAAGCATTAGTAAACAATGCTATCACCTTTATTGCTGTTGCTACAAAGTAGAATTACTCATATTTTATATTCACTAGTACTGAAATTTTCCTCGTACTAAAAAGCTATTCAGAAGTAAATAGTTTGAACTACTCTGCTAGCATCATGTTTGAAATTAAAGACAAATTATGGTATAACATGAAAGCAGAAGGGTGCTGGTGCACAAAGGCTCAGATAGACCCATCGCAAATGATCCAAGAGAAGTCTGTGTTGACATCTTAGCAATCCCAGATTTCCTTGAATTTGCACAATTAAGAAAGAAAATTCCAGAGAGGGTCAAGTTCCTGATGTAAACCAAAAGGCTTGGGGCCTGAGGGAGTGGGGGCAACAGACTTCAATGTGTATAAAGCCAGAGCCACAAAGAGTTCCTTCTCATGAGAACCAAACAAGAAGCTGTGGGTAGGAAATGGAGCTGAAGTTCAGAGTAGTAGAACCACCCATTCAAAACTAAGTGTGAGCGCTAATAGTAAATCAGATAGTGTGTATCCTGAGGTCCAACAATCAAACAAGACATTCTCAGCCCTGAATGTGTAGAAACCAAAACAGAAAGGCAATTAATGATAATCATTACAATAATAGGAAGTACAAAAGCTCAGAATATAATCTGAGGGTCAGGAAAGCCTTCCTAGGGGATGTGGTGCTTAAACCCAAATTGAAACTCAAGTGGAAATCTATCGATAATTTCCACTTTTTTCCTCCCTATAAAACTTGAATTAAAAAAAAAAACTTGATTTTAAAAAAATGAAAGAATTGTGAAGTATTCTGGCCCTCTGGGTACAAAGAAGATAAGCACTGCAGGTTAGAGCAGTTGTTTTGTGTTCCAAGTGTTGACACTACAGACTGATCTAGTAGCTGCTGTCATGGCTAATCGGACGCCAGATGTTGCCTCAAGGAACAACAGTAAAACTTCACTGAGTTGAAAAAGTTAAAAGCTAATAATACTATTCTACATATAATATAATACTAGTCTTGAAAACATTTTAACATACATACATACAATTCCACATATTACACATGCATAATGGCACATCTAATAATGACTGGACATAATACCCAACCAGTAATAGTGATTGTTCATAGGAAAGGGAAACGGAAGAGAGGATTTTTAAGTTGGTCTAAACTGTTTCCTTGTAAGAGGGACAACAGAAGACACAAGACAACTATTAGTGTGTTAACAACTGGGAAGGTCAGTACATGGAAACCAGATAGACACATAGACAGACAGACAGACAGACAGACAGACAGACAGACAGACAGACAGACAGATGACAGACAGACAGACAGACAGACACACCTAGAAGCAAACCTAGGGCTTCACACATGTTAGGTAAGGACTCTACAACTGAGCTGTAACAGCAGCCAAGAAAACATCATCCTGCCTTTTGTACTCTTCCTTGTGTGTCTGAGAACACATGTACATTTCATTTGAAGAAAAAAAAATTAAAACAAAATACAATTTAAAAAATGGTAGAAATGAGAAAAAGAGCAGCCTGTGGCTTCCTTCTATTAGTGTTGTACTACGTCATGTGTACCTGGGCATTTCTTCCTCCTCTGCTAAATTACACCCATAACCCTTTGTAATGGGCAAATGCTGGACCTTCAAAATACATACATCCATTCAAAAGTAGTAGATATTGCCAAAAAGATGTGGTTACAGATCTTTGCCCTGCATTATGCAAATGGGTCCTAAATACAAACACACACATCCTGTGACAGATGTGGTTAGGGTTCTAAGATACACAAGAAATGCCATATGATCACAAAATAACTACAGTGGGATGGCTAAAAGCTATACAACATGTAGAGCTACTAGAAGCTAGAAAAGGCGAAGAATGGTTTTCCCCCTAAGCAAGGGCCTGGTGACACCTTGAGTTTGAACTTCTGACTTCCAAAACTGAGAGATAATACTTCTCTGTTGTTCTCTGCCACCTGAGCTTTGTTAATTTTGCAATGGCCACAAGAAATTAACACAATCCTTTAATTTTTCCAAAGTAATTTTCATTCACTTGTTTTTACTGAATGCTACTTGATATAATTTAAGCAAGCAAAATGAAGATTCCTGACTCTCACTGAACTTACCTTACAAATATGATAAAAGTTGGTACCCAGGCCTGGTGGTGAAGCCCTATAGTTGCAGGAAAATCAGCAGCTATAAGCCTGTCTAGGATACAGAGTGAGTTCAAGGACACCTTAAACAACTTAGCATCTTATCTTAAAATCAAAAAGGAAAAGGATGGGACCTTGGTGTTGTAGTACATGCCCAGCATACAGAAAGCCCTATGTTGGATCCTCAGCACCTCTGACCGTGGGCAGGGTAACAAGCCTTACTGCAAAGGGCATGCAGACAGTAAGAAGGCAATAGGAAGAATGTGTAGAAGAACATCACAGTCAGAGGAAGAAGCCAAAAGAGGGGTGTTTCTCAGCATGCCAACATAGGGAGAGTCAATGACTAAGTTCAGACCACAAAGAGGTGTGGCCACCAACAGATCTTATAGAATATTTTAGACCAATGTAAGAACTCTGGCTTTTAATGTGAGCAAAATAGAAAACTTCAAACAGTTCAGAAAAGTGTGACATGATCACCAACATACTTACATAGCTTCCTGGGTTACTATGTCTCTAGGCTGTATGCTTGTAAAGTCAATGGCTGCTTTATCTTGTTCACTGAAGCAACCATACTGAGTGTTCTCTATGACCCTCAGGATGCTGTGCAGAAAGGAGGGTTAATGGCCACCTCACAATCCCTTCCACCATCTTTACCAGTTTGCCTCTGGCCTATCTATTATACTGTTCCCTTGAAGTTTTGAAGGAAACAAGTTCTATTTTAAAAGAAGCCAAACACTACTCCCTTTGGATGAAGAGAAAATGATTAAACGTCAAATTGTCCTTGCTTCAGCCCTCATTCTGGACTACAAACTGTTCCTGCTGGAAGCAGGGGGAAGTAGGCACATTAACAGGATGAAAATCAGACAGCATGGTCTCATGGGAACCACAGTGGAAACAGGAACATCTATAGTAAGATCATGAATCCAGCGTGTAACAGCCATGGGGCAGTGAGCAGCCAAGGAGACCACAAAGGCTACCACAAGGTTCTCCTTTGACCAGACCCACATCCTGGAACCAAAACAAAAAAGTCAGTACATCAACCCAGACCAAGCAAGGTACATCTTATCCAAAAGATAAAAGCACTCTTACCAGAAGGTCTGCCTGATACCCAAACAAGAAAAGCTGGGCATTGGAAAAAGCTGTGGCCTACCTACACAGCTGCTACTAAACTCAGATCCTTCCCCAAATCTGCACACAACACACAGAGACTGTTAGTAAGAAAGCAGCCTGAGTACAACTCAGAGCAAACAGCCTCATTACCCAGTGTCCTTTCCCAGTAGTTGTAACTTACTATTACGGAAAGGAAGTGCTGGCCTTAAGACAATTACTCCTATGAGAGCTGAAGATACAATACTGACTTTAATCTTCAACAAAATATAGTGAAGTCTCAATCCCTGTTTTAAAGTTCAAGGTTAAACTGGGTCAAATTGAGCTCCAGGCCTCATAGTGTGAACTACAGCCTGCACTTTTAACCTTATCCATTATGTCAAGGCAAAGATCACTGTTCAAAATCACCGGGAAACCAGCGTGGGAGGAGGAACATTTTTCTAACTCCCACGAAAATGGTAGCATGCCTAGAACCCAGAAAAGCAGTCCTAGAAGGAATTTCAGCTTAGATGTGAAGAAAAAGCATGGCCATGCATGCTCCTCCAGATGAGAGACCATCTGTGAAGAAAACAGATCCCACAAAGAGGGAGAAGTCCA